CACTCCCCACTAGGGTGCACTCTCCCCCGCACTGGGCCCACATTCTCCCACTCACTGGGCCCACACTCCCCACTAGAGCACACTGCCCCCTCACTGGGCCTGCACTCCCCACTAGGGCACACTCCCCACTAGGGCACACTGCCCCCTCACTTGGCCCACACTCTCCCCCTCACTAGGCCCACACTCCCCACTAGGGCACACTCTCCCCCACCCTGGGCTGAGTCCCTCACCACTGACTACCATCCAGACTTGCCAGCCGCTTCGCTGGCGAAAAACATTCTACTTCCTCATTGCATATAAAAATTAACAGAAAAATTAAAAAAAAATTGATAGACTTCTGAAAGTAGTGCAGGATTCAAGTTAAATTAACTGTCAAAAATTGTTGCACTCAAAGTGCAGATGATCATTGGGGCTATTTTATGTTTTGGATTGGGATTTCATGTTTCAGTGATCTTGCCTCCACAACTCTCTCGGCTAGAGAATTCCAGACATTCACTGCTCTCTGATTGTCCCCTCAATTTATAACTACATCCCCTAGTACGTGACTCCCCCACTAGTGTAAACATCCTCTCAATATCTAGCCTGTCAAGCCATCTCAGAATTTGTACGTTTATATCGGTGAGGTTCTGAACATAATGAACTGAAGAACAATTTGATAACAATTTTACAGTTTAAAAAAAGGAATCCCCAAGCTGCTTTTAATAGCACTTGCATTGCTTAAAGCTTAAAACCTTGTGAAAAGCTGTTGTTCATGCTTTAAATCAAATAGAATAAGGAGGCTATTTCAGATACACAAGTCATTGATTGCTGGAATCTTGCATCAACAAATCCTGGATATATTGCTACTGTTTTCTGATTAGTGCTTTTGTTGGGTAAGGCTCCACATCTGGCCCTCACAATTCCACTTTCAAATACCCATCAGTGTGATCCCACACTGTTTCAGATAGACAGGTGGTTAAAAGTGAATAGAAAAGCCACTATTTCAAATGTGGCCGCTACTGTATCTGGGAGATAATTGAACCAGGGTGCATGCATACAAACACATTGGGTGGAATATTCCTGGGCGAGGTGAGGCAGGTTTTCATGTTTGCGAGACTTCAATCCCCTGAAATTAATGTCAAATTGAGGCTCCAATGTCATCCTGCCCTTTGGTTTCTGTGGACAATACTAAAAGCAAACAGGGAAACCACTCACTTTGGATCTGTTGGGTAAGCTATGAAGACAACTAAAAAGCCATTTAAGAAGCACTGAAGGCTCATTTTTGGATTTCCCAGACCGATCAACTCTTTCCAACCTGTTAGAAACTCTCTACATGCTGGTCGCAGTGAGTACACAGTGGGGGGAAGAGCTTCCTCAGTGAAACTGACAGCCTGGGAAGGCTTTGATCAGTGAAACTGAAGCTCAGCAGCCCTGGCCATCAAGAACCTGCTACTGGACCTCCGAGTAATATTGAGAGACGTGGGCATCAGTCATCTCAGGTCAGCTGTCCTTCATGTGGTTGCTGTAGCCTCAGAAATCCAAGGGTTGGTCAGCCCTTGTGGCTCTTTTTAATTAAAAGTCCTTCCTTCAATGTAATGAATATGTCAGCCTACCTGGTCCAGTTGGCTGGGGAATCCAGAGGCGGATGGCTCCCAGGACTTTGAGGTGGATAGCTAATGCCAAGTTTCATTTAAAGAGGCAGAAATTCAGTGCTAGTAAATTAGGTTTCTAACCAGCAAATGGCTCTGCAGTTCTAGTAGCTAAGTCTAGAAAATCCGGCATTCTGTGCTTATTTTAATAAAAAGCTTCATCTTAGTATGTGATTATTTGTATTTTAAACAGCAAAATTTACAACAGTTTGTCACAGCAGTGATGTAGCATTAGTTAGCGTGATAGAGAAGCTTTGCAGTCCAGGCAGAGGAACTGGGAGATGTAGGGCTGATATGAAGTTAAGTAGGCAGTTCCCATTATAAAACCTGAAATTTATAAGATTCTTGGGGGGCTTGACAAGGTAAATGTGGAGAGGTTGTTTCATCTTGTGGGAGAGTCTAGGACCAGAGGGCATAAGCTCAGAGTAAGGAGTCACCTATTTTTGACAGGGTTGAGATAGATTTATTTTCTCTCCAAGGGTGATGAATCTATGGAATTCTTTCCCACAGAGGTCTATTGAGGCTAGATCATTAAACATATTCAAGGCTGAAGCAGATAGATTTCTAAACATTAAGGAAATCAAGGGTTAAGGCGGGAAAGTGGAGTTGAGGATTATCAGATCTGCCATGATCTCAGTGAATGGTAGGGGACACTCAATGGTCCGAATGGCCTAATTCTGCTGCTCTGTCCTATGGCTTTATAAAGGTGGATGTGAGAACTAATCATGGACAAAGTTAATATAAAAGTATCAAATAATAATCAGAGACAGGTCTTTTCGAATAGTCAGTGAATGTGAATGTTTAAAATTTGGTGAATATTTCCATTGTCTCTGTCAAAAGAAGTTGCGGTTCACAGGTCAATTTTGTAGGCAACTTATACTTCCTTGGTGGATGCATGAGCCCCTTTAGCATTTTTTCCAGAGATAAATCAACACAATGCCATTTCACCCACTTCAGAAAGGCGAGTCACAGCACCAAATGCTGCTTCTCACAGCAGATGCCACAGAAACATTCTTGAAGATCTAATCAATTAACCCTTTTTAAATGAAAATCCAAACTGAAGACAACTAAGGTTAACAAGACTGAGAAGAGATAAGTCCTTTGGAGAAGTTGAGACAAGACAGAAGAAGTGAAAATGATACAACTCATGGAGGGTGGAATTTAACTTTGGAGGCAAAAGGGCATTTATTCAGGTTGGGAAATGGTGGGTGGGAGCCCCATTGCCTTGGGATGTCTGCCCCATTAAGTCTGAGGTGGGAAGGCTGTTGGAGGACCTTCCCTCTTAATGGCCTCTTCCTGCAGCCACTAGTATTGACTCAACAGCACTGGTAAGTGGGGGGAGGGAGTGGTTAGAATCACTGGGAGTAAGTGAGGGGTGGGAGAGGGCAGGGAGTAGGAGGGATAGTAGGGGCGTGGGGAGTGAGGCAGAAGAGTGGGTGGGGATGTTGTCATGCAGGGTGCTCGGAAAGCAAACCTTTTTGGGTTTGTTTGCAGGATTCCAGGTGAAGTCATCATCCAAAGGTGTTCGCTTGTGACTGAGGGATTCAGCTTTGGGAAAGGGATTTACAGCTGAGACTCTCATTCCTCCACCTCCCCACACTGAAACAATGCATTGGAATGGAGCAAACCTGTCATTGATCTGATTTGGGTAGGAGGGGTTGGGGTGTAGCCTTGGGTAGCTTCCGGGACTTATGCCTTATTTAATCTACAAGGTGAGCCCTTAATCTGGGCCCCTGGTGAAAGATAGGAAATAGCAGTCTTCATCAATCCTTAACAGACTGCACCAAAATCAAAGAGACGCAGCTACTTAATGGATAAGTGGCCTCAAGTGAGGCAAAATCCTTTTTCAAAAACTGTATCAGGTTATCCCAATGGTTAAATTGCCTTAAAAATGCTCAGTTAAATGTAGATGCAGGAATGAGTGTCCATGGGAAAACAGCAATGGAGTATTTGAATAATGCTGTACTACAGATGTTGCCAGTTAAAATGGGCATGAGGAAGGATTACACTCTCAGGAAAGGAGTACACATTGCTGCTGGGTCAGAGTGCATTACTCATAGACATTCCACATCTATAGCTTGGTCTGGAACGTCCATATTTTGCACCAGGAGAACCAGACCCACCACATCTGTTCAATCATTTGTTTGAATTAGTCATAACTAAATGACCAAAGATTGGCTCAAGAAATAACTTTAAAGAGTACCTTAAAGGAAGAAAGAGAGTTGTAGTAGGACATCACAGGCCTTAGACAACTGCTTTTCTTCATTATGTAAATGATTTGGATGTGAATATAGGCTAACTGACTCTGTGTCATGACTTATTTTGCATTTATCGTGTTTCAGTCTCCCTCAGGCCAACCTAAGAATAAGACATAGAAAACAATGGATTCACTATCACGACATTCCTACTTTTATTTTTTTTAAAAAAGATGTGTCCAGTAGCAGGAATTGGGCAGTGACTTTGTGCAATGGGATCACTGGACTATTTCAGATTTCTGTTTCAGTTGGGATCTCTCTATTCCAACCTACAGAAGACAATCAGTGCTAGATGCAATTAATTATATGGCTCAAGAACAGTCTGTTCCAGCCTGGTGCACCATTACTGAAGTCGGTCTGCTGTGTTCACTGGGAACTCAGAAGACTAATTTCACAGAATTTCCTAATCTCTTCCAGGCCATATTTGGACACTGAACTTCTCTTATTTTCCTGTCTTCAAGGTCAGCTTACTTACCAAGCTGCTTCTCCAGATGAAGAAGCACTCGTTACTGCGGCAAGAAACTTTGGCTATGTGTTTCTATCACGCACACGGGACACAATAACCATTAGTGAGCTGGGAGTTCAGAGGACGTACACAGTGCTGGCAATATTGGACTTCAACAGCTGCCGAAAGAGGATGTCTGTTATCTGTAAGTAAACAAAGAAAACAGTTAAATACATTTCCACTTTTAGAGTCATAGAGCTTTTTATGCAAATGAAGCATATTGAGTCCAAGTAGTCTCTCTGTGGAGCGATCCAGTCAGCTGCGTTCCCTCCACTCTACGTTTACTCCCCTCAAGTGTGCATTTAATTACCTTCGGAAACCATTGATTGTTTCTGCTTTCATCACCCTTGTAGGAAACTGGTTCCACTGCATTACAACTCTCTCGGTGTTATGTTGAAGACTTTTCTTTTCTGTAATTTTTATCATTTTTTCTCAACTTATTTCTCAACTTCTTGGCTGTGTTTTGTTCCTTTTCTTCTCCAAGCAGCCGAGAAGATGGGTAAAGGCCTAATCTTGTTCCCATCCAATCCCACCTGGAGTACTGTGCTTCCTTTCCAGAACATGCAGTCTGATTACTCATCACATTTAAAAGAGCTTTTGGGTGAAACACTATAGCCTAGTAGCATTACTGGATAACTCAGCACAGACACAGTGCGAATTTTTATACTTTCATGGTTCTTGCTCAGTGGCTTGTTGAACCACTTTTTAAAGAATTGAGAGTCAACTGTACATTGTAATTCTGAAATTGCACAGATAAAAGTGGCAGTTTTCCTTCCCCAAAGTATTTTATAGAGGTAGTAGGTTTTTCACAGCAGTTCATTGGCTTTCGTTGACATTTTCTGGTACAAATAAATCACCAGACTATTTGAGCTAAAACTTAATTGACACTAAACCTGGTTTACAAGCATAAAACCACTACCCAGTGTTCAACTTGGTGTGTGGTACACATATTCTGAGCCAGAAATGCAGTGTCTGCGAAATTTGAAAAGGATGGATTATCAACATCCAAAGACAATGTTAGAAAGTTTTGCCCATGCATTGGTGAGGCCAAACATTTGTTTCAGGAGCTCTTTCCTAAATTGGACCACTCTGAATGGAGCCATAATGTGCTCTAAGATCCAAGACCTACCTAAACATAAGGACAGAAAGTATAACTTCAAAGTGAAACTGAACTGCAGCTGCCACCTTATCCCATTACTCTCTACAGCACATACTGGGCATCAAAGGTGAAATGTTTCTTGGCTTATAGAATTGTTTCCTCTAAGGAGAATGGTACCACATCGAAATGAACCATCCTCCCTCTGTACGAGGTCAGCGTTTTAGTTTTATTTTTCCTACTGTCTGCAGTTCTCCTGGGCTCTACTGGAACCAGAAAATTGAAAACAATTTAACCAGAAAATCAAGCTCTGACTTTGTTGAGCTCATTTTATTTTTGGAAAGCATCACGCTTTGTGATGCATTCCTGATAAAGTGCCAGATTACCTCTGCTGTCGGTGGCTCTGAGCCCAATCTCAGTTGATCAATGTTGCGAATTCTTTGAAGTTGTAAATGTTCATGTGCCTGGATTCACTCGGAACACTTTTATTCTGCAGTGGAAGACTCGGAAGGAAAGATTAAACTGTATTCCAAAGGAGCAGATGCGGTGATACATCAAAGGCTTTGTCCAAACTGTCCCCACAAGGAGAGCACTCAAATGGCACTTGATGTAAGGCTACACATTTCTTTTTCCCATATTCAAACTATCTGAATCTTGAGGACTGTGGATGCATTCAAACTATTTAGCAGTCTTTGCTTTTTAGAATCCATGAGAAGGAGAAATTGTCACTTTATAATTTTCACAGTGCTTGGTCTTGTAAATGTTACATTTATGAAATTATTCAGCTTCCATGTGTTCTACAGGGAATTGTAGATCCCACAGGTTGAGAAATGACAATCTGCATTGAACTGATAAATTGATTTGATATTTTCTGGTGTATGGTTTACCCTGGAGTTATTGGAGAATGACAGTGCCCAAAAGCAGGAATGCACTTGTCATTGGAATTTTTATATAGAGCAATAATGCAGCACTGCCACCTTAAAGTGACGTCTTGCCAGTGCCTTTTTGAAATGCAATCATTGCCTCGTTGCTCAGACCTTTTGAGTATAGGAATTGGGAAGTCCTGTTGAGGTTGTACAGGACATTGGTGAGGCCTCTGCTGGAATACTGTGTGCAGTTCTGGTGTCCCTGTTGTAGAAAGGATATTATTAAGCTGGAGAGGGTTCAGACGAGATTTACCAGGATGTTGCCAGGAATAGAGACTTTGAGTTACAAGAAAAGGCTGGATAGACAGGACTTCTTTCACTGGAGGGTAGAAGGTTGAGAGGTGACTTGATAGAGGTTTATAAAATCATGAGGAGTGTAGATAAGGTGAGTGGCAGGTGTCTTTTCCCTATGGTGGGGGATTTCAAAACTAGGGGATGTATTTTTACAGTGACAGGAGAAAGATTTAAAAAAGATATGAGGGGCAATTTTTTATACACAGAATGGTTTGTGTGTGGAATGAACTTCCAGAGGACGTGGTGGATGTGGATACAGTTACTACATTTAAAAGACAATTAGGTAAGTACATGAATAAGAAATGTTTAGACGGATATGGGCCAGGCAGGTCAGACTACTTTAGTTTGGGATTATCATTGGCATGGACTGGTAGGACTGAAGGGTCTGTTTTCATGCTGTATGACTTTATTACTCTAATCATCATAGTGAGTACTTGGCAACATTGGAATCTCTATCATGTGAAAATTATGAACATTTGTAAGTCAAAGAACAAACTCTTTGTTGAGATCCTCGCTAATATTCTACCAGTGGTGCAGTACGGAAATTATTGGTCCTGTTGTTTTTTAACAACGTGGCCGGGGGAGTTTGGTGGATGGGCATGGAAGCTGTAAGCCCCAGTACAGGTAGCAAATCCATTTGTAGTCTGGCTAGTCATCACATGTTTACATGTGATCTAAACATGACCATGACTTGGATCGAGAATGGGTGATGAAATTCATGGAGTAGGGAATATTTAAATTTGGACTCCGCCACTCTTCTGTCCTACGCTGGCCTCCTCACTTGCTCAAAGGGTAGGGTAAAATCAGGGCATGGCAAGTCAGTGACTTTTTTCAGTGAGGATAAGTTACAACTGTCATTTTAATTGAAATTCTGCCAGATCCAGAAAATAGGTTAAAATCAGGGCCATCCCCAATTCTCAGGTTGGCTGATGAATTTAGAAGATCAGATGGAGGAAGTTGGAGGTTTAAGACCCCTAACATCTGGGGAATCATATGATGCATGTTGTAACACAACCAGCATACTCATGTAGAATAATTTAAGACTGTGAAATTAAAAAATCTAGATGGTTTGTCTTTTTAAGTACTAATTCTCATGTGAATTGCGAATAATAGGAAATTCTGAGTTTTGCTGAAAATACAATTTTGCTACATTTTCTCTTAAATCCATTTTAAGAAAATTATTTACTTGTATACTTCAGTAATCCTTTTTTCATCATAATGTTTAAACACCACCCTCACCCTGACTTTGATCAACATTTCCCGTGTCAATGGAATAACATCAGTGATATATAATATGCACAAAGGGGATTTTTTGAAGTACTCCAACTGCTTATCATTTCCACAAGACAGGACACAAATTCTGCAAAGTTCACTGTGATGATTGCATTACAAGAGATCACAGGAATGAGTTCTCTTCAATTTGCAGTGTTGCTGGGGTTAGTTTCTTGTGAAAATTCTGATTACATCAGGTAAGACAAAACTGAAATAGCCTCAAGTGGACGTTGAGCAGATAATGTTACAATTTCAAAAACCACAATGGCTCATCTTAGTGTGCTTATTTCAGTTCAAACACTGGACCCGAGCCCATCGATACTGTGCCCTTTTCTCTTCAAATGGCTTGAATTCAAATTATATTAGACAATGCTCCTATAAAGTACTTTTGGGATATTTTACTATGTTAAAGGTGCTACATAAATACAAGTTGTTGATTTGTGCTCTAACTCATTAGCACAAATACCAAGTAATGCAAAGAGCTCTTCTAATTGGAAGTAAATTAATTTAAGAGACACAAGAGCTTTTCTGCCTGGAGGATTTCAAAGCAATTTCAAATGAATGTTCCTGATATTCTGTGGAAAGGTGGTACCGGTATTGCACGTTCTTTCCTAACATTGGTCTTGGATCTCTTTAATATTGACATCCAGCCTGGATTTAGTTCTACCGTCACTATCTCAGTCTGGAATTAGTTGGGAATTTTATTCTGGGGGAACGATGCAGCCACCTAAACCAGTACACATGGTGGTAGGCCTGTGAATGTGGGTGATGATGAAAGTGGTGGATGCCAGTACAGCGACAATGTTTAAAAGACATTTGGATAAGCTCATAAATAGGAAAAGTTTGGAGGGATATGGGCCAAGCGCAGGCAGGTGGGACTAGTTTAGTTTGGGAACATGGTTGGTGTAGACTGATTGGACAGAAGAGTCTGTTTCTATGCTGTATGACTCTATGTATGTTTATCAAAGAACAAAGAGAACAAATAACAGTACAGCAGAGGAACAGGCCATTCAACATGCACAGACTCATGACTCCTTTCCAAAATATAATCCTTTTACTTGTACGTGGTTTGTATACCACTATTCCCTGCCTATTCATGTATATGTCAAGATGCATCTTAAATGTTGCTATTGTATCTGCTTCACTGGATCATATAGCACTGGATCATTTGGCAGGGCATGGCTTTTATGTCAGTTGCCTGCATCACCTCATTCATGTGCAAGAAAAAGCAGCATATTGAAATGACGGGGACCCTGTATTACAGCTACAAGTCAGCATGCATGGTAGATACACAACATGGTATCCATCAGAAACATCGATCTCCTCCAGCGCTCGGGGGTGAAGGAGCATAGGGTGAATGATTCCTATGGTGCCCAAACCTCTCTGTAGTTCTCCAGTGTAGCCATTCTGAAAGTTTCTCTGTCCCATTTACTAATGGGTTTACACCGACCATTTTGAAAGTTAATGTGATGTTTGTAAAAGGCTTCATGAAAGCAGCTTGATAACACTAGTGATTCAGGATTGTCTCTTCTCCATAAGGCTTGAGAACAAATCAAAGCCTCAATCTTGATATCTTGCTATCTTTGAGTGCTGCAGCTGCTCGAGGGGTTTAGTTCTTTGTTGATTAAAAATTGAGTCATTGTGCCTTCCTGGAATATTCCATATTGGAGTGGAGCAAGGAGTAACACAACCCATCAATCTTTCTGTCAGCCGATTTTGAATGACACTAAGACACAGCTCATCTCACTGCTCTGCTGAGGGACACTAAAAACAGCAAGGCCTTTAAACTTAGAAACACAAAAAATGTCTTGGATAGAAGGAAGCCATTCAGCCCATTGCATCTGTACCAGTTGTGCTTTAAAACAAAGCATTGCATAGCATTAAAATCTTTCCTTTGCCAAAACTCGTTCTTTTCAAATGATTCAAGTACAACTTAAAATATTTTATACAATTCTTAACATGATTTGAAAAGTCTAACTATTCAGATGTATTTCACCCAGTGTACTGTAAATATTTCTCATTATAAATAGGTTAGCATCTCAGCATAAATATTAGAAAGAGCATCCCTTGCTTATGAAATATTGTTGAGGTAGGCAGCATAGGGAATACTGTATCTTCAATAATCTTTTCACACATAAATTGTGGCATAAATCAATGCTAGCTTGAAGGTAAGCTTCATTTGCCAGGACTGTGTTGTGAAAATTGATATGCTTTCTGCAGTACTTCGCTGCGGAAACACTGCGGACATTGTGCCTGGCATACAAAGAAGTGGAGGAAAGCTACTTCAAAGACTGGAACCAAAGACACCATAAAGCTAGCGTCATTCTGCAGAATCGTGGAAGGTTGCTCGATGAGTTGTATGAAGAAATAGAAAGAGATCTAGTGGTAAGCCATAGGCCTTATTAAATAGATATGCCTGGAAGAGGTGTTTGCAAGTCAAACCCTGTCATTTGCTAACTAATAGACACAACAATGGCTGTTGCTACCAGATTAAGAGCCTGTTGCTTCTGAGCATCATTATTTATATATAGCCGATAAGATGCTTTTCAAGCTAACCTTTGCAAGGAGAAACTCATTATTTAGACCTTTAATAATATTGAAAGAAACACAGAACTTGATGATACGAAGGTACATCTACATCAATGCAGGAGATACCTGTATGGCCAAGGCTAATGTGTAAGCTGAAAATCTGCAGTGGCCAGTTGCTGTCCGAGTTATACCCCTGTCCTCTCATTACCAAATGGATCACTAGAAGATATGGCACACCAATATCCTTCTGTTCAAATCCTTGCATAGCCTCACCATCCTTAACTCTGTAACATCTGCCAATCCTGCAACCCTTGAGAACACTGTATTTTTCCAACTCTAATCTCTTCATTTACTTTAGTCCTTAGTGGCTATGTCTTAGCTGCCTAGGTTCTAAGGTCAATTTCCCTAAGCTTCCTTTACCGTCCGTGTTTCTTTAAGATGGTCCTTTCAAACCTAACTCTTTGACCAAGCTTTTTGCTACCCGTCCTAATACCTCCTTACACTTGCTGTCAATTACATCTGGTTATTTTCCTGTCGAGTGCCTTGGAACACTTTATGAAGTTAAAGATGCTATAAACAACCTGTGCAGAGTGTGAGAGCTCAGCTTTCTCTTCAGTAATCTAATTGGTTTTCATAAATGACACCTTCCTTCCTCATCATCTTATTGCTAAATATTGTATTAAATATGTAACAAGGATCAGTATCAGTTTGAATACACTTCATCTGAAACCTACTGATAACTGGAGAACAGACCTCTATTTGCTTCAACTGAAAGTATAACAAATTTTTTTAAAAGTCTCACTTTAAGAATTAATTACATGTCTTTGTATTTCAGTCAAACTGTAGTGTGGGTGCAAATGCATTGAACATCAGTTAATTTTATTTCACTGTTAATTTATTTTTGTAAATGACTAATTGGTTTAAACATTTCGATTTATAGTGCTGTAACATGAAGTCTGTGAAGCCCATTGAAGCTGCAAAATTTTGAATCCGAGTATGGGAAGAAACTCCTTTTCTAAAAATTCATTCACAAGATGTGGGCATGTCTGGCTGGGCCAGCATTTGTTGCCCATCCCTAATTGCCCAGAGGGCAGTTAAGAGTCAACCACATTGTTGTGGGTCTGGAGTCACATGTAGGCCAGACCAGGTAAGGATGGCAGTTTCCTTTCCTGAAGGACATTAGTAAACCAGATGGGATTTTCTTGACAATTGACAATGGCTTCATGTTCATCATTAGACTCTCCATTCCAGGTTTTTGTTGAATTCAAGTTCCACCATCTGCTGTGGCGGGATCCAGAACATTATCTGAGTCTCTGGATTAACAGCCCAGTGATAATATACTAGGCCATCACCTCCCTGAGGTCTAGTTGTGTTCTATATCGATGTAATGAGGTCTGTTTTGCAACACCATCAATGGACCTTACTTGATCTCTCCTGAATCTCGCAGTTCAAATAAACAAGCTAATTTAGTGGTGTGAAATAACAAGGTGTAGAGCTGGATGAACACAGCAGGCCAAGCAGCATCAGAGGAGCAGGAAGGCTGACGTTTCGGGCCTAGACCCTTCTTTAGAAAAATTTAGTGGTGTGTTTGGAGAGTAATTCCATTCAAATTCTGGATAGTACAAAGAGACTACAAGATCAACATTAATAAAGTGGAATGAAAACAGAAAGTGCTGAAGAAACACAGCAGGTCAGACAGCATTAGTGGAGAGAGAACATTCCAGGTCCTTTCTCTAGAACTGATGAAAGTCATAGATCTGTAAATATTAGGTTTGAATCTCTGCCCAGATGTGCTGCCTGACTTTCTGGGTTTTTCTAGAACTTCCTGTTTTTATTTGAGGTTTCCAGCATCTTATAACCTGCTTTTCATTTCATGTATAAATAAAGGAGACATTTTTGGGCTTGTAACTTTGGAGGAAATCATTAATGTCCTAAAGGCATTTACTCCCAGCTGAGGCTTTGTTCCAAGGGTAATTGTTATAGGTATTCACCCAAGTGACTGTTGTTTATGTGTGAACCTTGATGCTGGGGATTGGATTTTTAACTCGCAAGTGGGAGTTTCCAGGGTGAGAGAAAGACATGTTTCTCTGGATTCATGCTGAATTTAAAAGCAGGGCCTGTTTTGTATTTTTTCTCTCTGTTTCCTGGATAGTGCCAGCCAGATTGAAGGGGTGGCAGGGGTTGGTTTATGATACTAGGCCTCATCCAGGGAGTGGAGAAGATGGAAGGGTTAAAGCTGAGGGTAGAGTTTGAAGGATGGTCGTGTGAGGAGCGTGAACAGCAGGCAATGGGGGAGCAGTGGCCTAGTGGTACTATCGCTGGACTGTTAATCCAGAGACCCAGGTAAATTCTGGGGATCCGTGTCCAAATGCCACCACAGCAGATGGTGGAATTTGAATTCAGTAAAAATATGAAATTAAGAGTCTAATGATGACCATGAACTCGTTGTTGATTGTCAGAAAAACCCATTTGCTTCACTAATGTCCTTTAGGGATGGAAAATGCCATCCTCACAGGTAGCACAGTGGTTAGCACTGCTGCCTCATAGTGCTAGAGACATGGGTTCAATTCCAGCCTTTGGTGACTGTCTGTGTGGAGTTTGCACATTCTCCCTGTGTCTGTGTGGATTTCCCTTTGGTGCTGCAGTTTTCTCCCACAGTCCAAAGATGTGCAGGTTAGATGGATTGGCCACGCTAAATGCAGGGTTGTGGGGATCGGGTAGGGAGCTGAGTTTGGGTAGCATGTTGCTTGAAGGGTCGACATGACCTCAATGGACTGAATGGCCTCTTTCCACACTGTAGGGATTCTACGATTGTTGGGGGAAAAACCCTCTAGTTCAGTTAGATCCTTTCGGGAAGAAAATTGACATCCTTATCCAGTCTAGCTCTTAAATAGGGATGACAATAAATGTCAGCAAAAACTGTTTATCATCAATGAATAACAGAAAAGGCTTTGTAGGGCAGGTTGCAAGTCTCGTGAGGGAGATTGGGGTGTCTGATCCTGATAGGTAATGAAGCAGGACAGAGGAAAAGAATCTGTGGGTGCTGACTTTTCTTTAGGGGATAAGTTAAACAGTGGAGAAAGATGAAGTTATGATGAAATATTTAAACTTTGAACTCACACTTTGGGGCACTGCCTGCCCCTCATCCCACCTCCATTAACCTCCCTGTCTTGAACCTCCCAGCCAACCTGTACCTGCTGTTCTCTGGGGTTAAAACTCCCTCTTGCCGACAACAAGGCTTCAGAAGGCTCCTTGACTATGAGAGCATCACAGAGGAAGCCAAAGCTTTTCACCTGATGTCCACAGGCATGCAATTTCAGCAGAGGTGCAGGTAGTGTTGAAACTCTGTATAATTTTCCTCTCTTGGTCCTCTGGGCACTGAGGCCAATTACAGAACCCCAACATAAATCCACCTAATCCAGATCAGGCTCCAATCCAAGTAAATCATTGGGTCAGATCCCACAGCAGTGATGAGGGCTTGCTAAGGGAAGCTAAAATCAAATTATAAAGAGGATGCAAGAAGAGTGGAAACACTGTCAGACAATTCTGAATGTTACAAAATTCTAGTCTAACAATATCAATCTTTATAGAATCCTTACAGTGTGGAAACAGGCCATTCACCCCAACAAGTCCACACTACCCCTCCGAAGAGCATCCCACCCAGACCCATTCCCCTAATTTTCCATGTCTAACCCAAACATCGCTGGGCACTATGGGCAATTTAGCACGGCCAGTCCACCTACCCTGCACATCTTTGGATTATGGGAGGAAACCCATGCAGACAGGGGAGAATGTGCAAACTCCACACAGCCCAAGGCTGGAGTCAAACCCAGGTCCCTGGTACTGTCAGGCACAGTGCTAACCACTGAGCCACTGCGCCAGTCATGGTTCTCCATTATAAACGCTTATTTTGAGTATAATCAGTTGAAGGCCTTTGCTTAAGTGAAGTCCATTTTTGCATTTATATTGCAGCTTATCGGAGCCACTGCTATTGAGGATAAATTGCAAGATGGAGTCCCTGAAACTATTCAGAACTTGAAGGAGGCAGATATTAAAATCTGGGTACTGACTGGAGACAAGAAAGGTGCTGGAATCATCAAAATTTACTTATATATAAGTTTTAAACATTCCTCCCCACTTGTCTAAGATTTCTTTGAGCCATTCACCTCCTCATGCTTTTCAACAGCCACCTGGGTTTGCTTTGTGATTATTCTGAATGTTGTTTATCGTCGGCTAATATTAAGCCACAAGGCATGTTACAGAATGGTGGAAATGTCACTGAATTTAGCAACTGAGAGACACAGGCTGATGGGCTTGAATCCCACTGGTGCCTAGGTGTTATTTAAAATTAATTAGTGAAACTGGAATTGACAGCGACATTGCAGCCTGAGTCAGAAGGTTGTACTGGAAAAGAGCCTTTTTCTTTCTGGAAGGCAGGTCAAGCTTTGTCTAAGGACTACTAGCTGTTCTCATTAGCCATACGGGCCTGGGTAAAGTGACCAATCACATGGCTGGGCAGGCAGTTGGATGTTGGCTCTGTTGTTGACTCAGGGGGTCAAACGTCCAGGAGCTAGATTTAAGGGCACTTGGCCAGACAGGAACTAGTTTTCTTGACCCAGGACCATCACAATTTCTGTCTCAGTGGCTCAGGACCCCTCCATCGACTTCACTCTTTAGATTCAACCATCATAAGAATATAAGGAATAGGAACAGGACTAGGCCATCTGGCCCCTCGAGCCTGTTCCGCCATTCAATAAGATCAAGGCTGATCTATTTGTGGACTCCGCTCCACTCACCCACCCATTCAGTATGACTCTTATTTCCTTTACTGTTCAAAAATCTATCTTTGCCTTAAAAACATTCAACGAGGTAGCTTCTCAACTGCTTCACTGGGTAGGGAATTCCACAGATTCACAATCCTTTGGGTGAAGAAGTTCCTCCTTAATTCAGTATGAAATCTGTTCCTCCTTATTTTGAGGTTGTGCCCCCTAGTTCTAGTTTCACCCGCCAATGGAAACAACCTCCCTGCTTCTATCTTGTCTATCCCCTTCATAATTTTATATGTTTCTATAAGATCCCCCTCATTCTTCTAAATTCCAATGACTGTAGTCCCAGTCTACTCAATCTCTCCTCATAAGCCAACCCTGTCAACTCCAGAATCAACCTAGTGAACTTTGTCTGCAGCCCCTCCAGTGCTAGTACATCCTTTCTCACGTAAAGTGATACAACTGGATTCCATCAAATAAGTGGAGCTGCATGAACAAAAATCTTAAAATTCCATCCAATAAACATGAGCAAAATGATGAGTAAAAAATCGTTGTCACCACTTCCCATCCACTCCCCGTCCTAAGCACTAATAACCATACTGTAACACCATTGCTGTCTTGTCCACACACTGTTTACCTCAACGCACCTTCCGCCCCCCAGACTTGCCAGTTGTGGTTGAACAGTTTCTAGTAGTTGTTGTGCATGACTTCTCATTTCCTATCACTCCCCTATTGAATCCACAATTGCTGCAACACAAAATAATGCAACAGGTCAGGTCTCTGTTCAGCAACATAAGCTTAAGTCTTAATGTGTTTAGGCCTAAACAACATTTCTGATCTCAATTCAAAATGGCTGCTAACTTAAACCTGGCTTATACAGGCTGATTTTGATCCTTTGGGGCTGTTGCTGTGGTACCCAAAATCGCAAAGAATCCCAAGCATTGCTCCTTGGCACTTCACTCCCATGTCAATGGAACATGGAGGAACAGTGCCATTTGGGAAGAGGAGAGAGCAAGACCATCATCCTACCATTGCAGAATCGAGGCACAATGGAGGCATCATCTTCAGGCTTGGAGATTGTATGGAGTGTGTGACCATGGTATAAGATATGAATTTGAGCATCGTTCCATCCCCAACATAGAAATTGTTACAGCTGCAATGCAGAGTTGAAACCCACAGCAGAAAGCAGTCACTGCTGATGTGGGCAAATACATATTATCAACATTGGAATTTGCGTCATTAAAGGCTTTGGGAAAATCATGTGATCCTGAGGTACCTACTAGGTAAGCAACAGCACTTTCTGAAAAAATAGCAATTAGCCGTTTTTTAATTTCATTAATTTTTTTTTCTCATCTTCAACAGAAACGGCAGTTAATATCGGATATTCCTGTAAGTTACTCTCAGACCGAATGGTGCTTTTTGATGGGCATGATATCAGGTCAGTAATGAGGAATGGCGTTCCTTGTTAATGAATCGCTTCAGCAGTGTGATATGGCTGCCATGATGTAGGGGATGTGGAAGGTATTTTCCAATTTAAATACCCTTAGCAATGTGGGGCAGTGTTAAAGTACGGTGGGGGTCTGTTGCTATGACATTGCTATGTCTAACTAGTACTGAGTGAGCCAGGCCTGAGGAATCTGATTGGGAATCTCCCCATCCTAGCCTGGCCTGCTGTGGGTGACTCCGTGTGAGGCAGAGAGAGATGACTGGAATCTGCTGCCTCTTACGCTTGGGCCTAAATCCAGGCCTTTGGAATGCACACTGAATGAGTTGGAGTAATTCATGGCGCCATTATTACACATAAAGGGGAGGTGGTCACCTAGTGATATAATGGCAGTATCAGTGGCCTAATAATCCAGAGGCCCACATTAATGTTCTGGGCAGATGAGTTCGAATCCCACTGGGGCAGATGGTGATAATTGAACTTGATTAAACATTTGGAATTAATAGATAGTAACCATTTTTGTAAAGAGTACCGTTTAAGGAAAGGAAATCTACTTGCATGTGACCACTCAGCAGTGTGGCTGACTCTAAACTGCCCTCTGAATTTTGCATAGCAAGCCATTTCATTCAAGGGCAATTAGGGATAGCTGACCCAGCCAGTCACATCCCATGAATGCATGAAAAAAAAGGTCAAATTGTGTTGGTTCCTAATTATATGACAAAACCTTTCATTTTAAGGCCTGTGTATGATATGATCATTTTAAAGATTATTGCTAACATTATGGCAACATGAGAGCGCACTGTCTTCCCCCCCACCCACCTCCTTGTGAGCTGCTTTTATTTCTGATTGTGGCCTGGGTTCAAGTCCTGCCTGTTCTAGGTTTGTGTTGGTTGATTAGAAAATATCTAGGGACCGTTTGGAATGATAGGAATGTTCAGTAGCTCATTCACTTTGTCAAGTGTAACCCTTTAAATGGTGACTGGTCAGAATGTTTTACACAAGTCTGACTTAACATGCAAAAGCGTGAGCCAAGGGATCTTGTGTGAGATGTGAGCCAACAGTAACACAGTGCACATTTCTGTCATTTCATCACCTCAGCAAAGCCCTGGAGAAGTTACAGAAGAGCAACTACATGCACAAAGATAACAACATTGCAACCATTTCTGGGGCTATAAGCAACAGTGAGCAACCTGACTTGCTCTCGTGTGACAACAAGGCACTAATTATCACGGGAAGCTTTTTGGTAAGCTACATGTCTCTATGTCATCGTTACTTCTGGACTCATTATTATGGGTTGTTTTATCAAACGTTAGCAATTGTGTTGTATGCAGATCTTAACAGTGACCAGGAAAATGGGAGCATTATGTATCTTCTAATGGATTTTGCTGAAACACTCTCACAGAACATAGCATGCCATGTAGCATCACCAAGGTCTGCAGCTGAGACCAAGCAGATAGAGTGACATGAGTGAGATAATTGCATTAATGACTGAAACTGATTGACAGGGAACTGTGTAGATTTCAGGTTAAATTCCTGGGATTAGAGAGCTATGCTCTGATGTCAGAGCTGGTAAAATGGACCTTTGTTCTCTGGCGTTTAAAAGAACGAGAGGTGATCTCAATTAAAATGCTAAAAATTGTAACGGGCATGAAAGGGCACATGCTGAGGTGCTGGGCTGGATTTTCCCAGGTGCATAGCCATCCTGACAATTGGGATGGACACAGTGTCCAGAATCCAAAATGGTTGTGGCTGATGAGCCTGGAGGTAACCAATGAAGAGGTGGCAGATCAGGGAGTGACGTTAAAGCTGCCACCACAGTTTTCCCACTCTGAAGAATCTAGAACATGGGGTCTCAGTCTCATGATAAGGGGCCAGCCATTTATGATTGAGATGGGGAAAAATTTCTTAACTCCGTGTTTCCGTGGAATTCTCTACCCGAGACCAATGAATGCTCAGTTGCTTAGTATATTCAAGAGTGGGATCGATAGATATTTGGTTACTAAGAGAGTGGAGGGATAATGGGTTAGGGCAGCAATGTGACGTTGAGCTCAATGATCAGCCACAATCTCTCTGAATGGTGGAGTAGGCTCAAGGGGTTAAATAGCCGAGTCCTGCTCCTGTGTCTTAATACTTTATTATAATGTAGTATTGGAATGGGTTGTCAGGTATTTCTCATTATGTTTGATTCTCTAACCACTTTTGCTGCATTTTACTCCAATATTGAGATTCAATTGATGTGAATTTACACTTTGCAAAAGTGCAGTTGGGCCAGTGGTTCTCATTAGTGACGTGGTGGGCTGTTACATTGCTGTGATTGTAACATCTGTTGGATACCAATAGAAAGGTTGGTCTTCTTGTGAAAGCCTCTTTAAATAAAGCTGTGGAGATCAGTTATTGTGCTGGGGCACTGGCGACACAGTGACACTGCAGCTCCTGGGATTTGTATTACTGATTGCTGAGAAATTGCATAGGATACGCAACTTCAGTCAATAAGATTTCACTGTATCTTTAAGACAGATAGAAAACCCACCGCTACCACATGATCTAAGGTCAGTTATTGAACCCACTACAATATGTGCAGTAATGTTACAAGAGGTAACCATATATCCAACCACCCATGGATGATCAATCCCTTGTAGGTCCTTGTGGGGAAACGACTGGTCAAGTCCCCTCCTTCTATTAGCAATCAGTGCCCTCAACAAGAATGTTTATATTTTCCTTCACTGGTGCATAGCATGTTACGCTGGCAGGTATTATTGTCCTTTAAGTGTTCTCCATAATATTCTGTGTCCAATGGAGTGTTGGAGTCTTTCATTAAGCCATGGAGCAAAAGTCTGCTCTTATATAATGTACCTTCTGTGCATTTCTCAGGCCATAATCACTCACATTTTTCCTTATCTCACCCTGCACTATCTCCCATTATTCCCTTGTTACATATCCATTTCCTGGCCTAAAATCAGCTTTCAGTTTGTTTTTCATATTAGCATGTTATCAGTTTTTTTTTAAACTTTTGGGGCTGGTTGTAATGGTTAGCTGTTCACATTTTTTGATTAATCTGTTGAAACATAAGTATTTCATTGAGACCTACAAGTTTTTTGGTTGCATTCTAGCACAATGATTTTATGATTTAATGCAGCTTTAAAGTGTGGTTGTCTGTTGTGCTTAGCTGTCTTTTGTTCTCTTCACAGCTAGACTTGAAGGTGTTGCTTCCAGTCATATTCCAATGTTATCTGTGAAAGAGCAGTTTATCACCTTTCTACCAGGTTACTTTGAAAGGTCTCTTGGTTTTGCAAAACACGTTAGTCAATTTCAAATTTGGTTAAGTTATATCAATTGTATACACTTTGACTTGTTCAGCAGTGATCATGGGCTGCCAGTGAAAGACAGCAGGGAAAGTGCTATGGAATATTGCCTCACACTGGTGAAACTTTTAATTGCAAATATCAATTCTATTTAAACTGCGCTTGTTGAATTTGTAACTTTGTTTTCCAATTTACATTTAGAACAAGTTCACAAAAGGCTTGAAGGAATCAAAAAGGAAGAGGACATCCTGCTGGAAGTTGAGAACTGCCGTTAACCCAAAATCAAGAGTGGACATTGACTGTGAAGAGGAGGCTCATGAGAGAGCTTTTATAGAGCTGGCCTGCCTGTGCAAGTCTGTCATCTGCTGTCGTGTCACTCCCAAGCAGAAAGCCATGATGGTGCAGCTGGTCAAAAAGTACAAAAGTGCCACCACACTGGCCATAGGGGATGGAGCAAATGATGTTAACATGCTGAAAAGTAAGAATAGACACACAAAGAGAAGGCACAGCTAAGATCCAAAGCCGTAGAGCAGTTATAGAGTCATAGAGTCACAGAGATGTACAGCATGGAAACAGACCCTTTGGTCCAACTTGTCCATACTGACCACATATCCTAAATTAGTCTAGTTAACTGGTTAACTAATCAGTTAGTTAACTTCAGTTATTAGTCAATAACTGTGATTTTAAGGAAGATCAGTGTGAGTATTAGGAGAGAGGGAGGCGATGGGTGAGAATGGGACAAGATGGGGGGGTGGTGGGGGTAAGTAGAAGGGGATGGAAAGCCATCCCAGTGCAATATCCATGGGAACTTCAATTGTGTGTCCTGTCCAGGTGATTGGAGTCTAATCTGGTGGGAAGAATTACATTGCTGGCAGACAGGAGCAGAAATTCAGGTGATGGGGGAAAAACAAACTAAAGGCTATGAAGAGGGAACAGGGAAGTGTCATTCAATGAGGAGTTTTGTGTGGAAAGAACCACTAGCACCAAGTATTAGAATGATAGCATGGACCTGATGGGCTGAATGGCCTCCTTTTGTGCTGTAATATTCTGATATTCTATGACTACAACTGCCAGCAATAATGGCAGCATATTTTAGAGACTTGGAGCATTTAAAAGAGCACTAACACTACGGAACTCATACCCAGAACTGAAAAGGTTCTGTGAGCCCCTGAGATAACATATTAATATTGGTTGATTGATGTCAGATCCCTCTGATTTATTACTAAAATACAAAAATGTAATGTTTTGTAGTTTTGCAATTGGATGCAGGTAGATTATATTAACAGAATGCCACAGCTGAATGTGGTCCTCAATTCTTATGGATTCAGACATTAACCCTCCTATCGCTCACCACATCCTGCAAAATTATTGGTTCCAAAAACTGCTAGGGAATCAGGTAACTTAATTTTCCATTACTCAAAGACATTAGGTTTTAAAGTGATTTCAACGTCTTTGCCACCATTTCTGAAATCTAATTTGACATATTGATCGTTCGTCAAGAGAAGAACTTCCTCACACCAAGTCGAAATTTTCCTTTTATGAGTTTGAACCTTTTGTCTCTTAACCCTACACTCCCAAATTTTACTTTGATTCATTAACATCTTTTACTTTTTCCATTATGGTTGAAATACTTTGTTAATTTCCCATTAAGCAAGGCCAAGACTTAAATATTGGTCTCAACCTCCAATACTGTATCATGTTCAGGTTATGTATGTATAGTGACTTGGAGACAGCAAGGACTGCAGATGCTGGAAGCCAGAGTCCATTAGATGTGAAGCTGGAAAAGCACAGCAGGTCAGACAGCATCTGAGGAGCAGAACAGTCAACATTTTGGGCCAATGAAGGGTTTCGGCCCGAAAGGTTGACTTTCCTGCCCCTCGGATGCTGTCTGTCTGACTTGTTGTGCTTTTCCAGCTTCACGTGTATGTATAGTGTTTACTGGAACTGTGCTGCCACCTGGTGGCTTCAAAAAAATTACTTTTACAACACATTGAACTCAAATCTTCAGAAAAGGTTTTTTTTAGGAAACTTCTGGTTATGAAAACTACGGTTAAAAAAATCCAATCTATTCCATGTGTTTTTCTTTTTTAAGGGTAATCGAAAGATTTAATTTAAAATGGTCAGTGAAACCAGGCAGAAACATATAAAAAGATGTGATTTAAGATTTTAAGACATTGAAAGAGAGATCTGTCCTGAATTATGCTGCTTGGATGGGTGATAACATTCTGAGACTCGGTATTAGAAACCTGCTGTGATATTCTAGCAGGTTAATGTTGTTTGGTGGATGTCACACCAGTCCTTTTATTGTAATGAACAGGCAAATCAGATTTTCAAACCTAGATTTTGTGTGAGGTTTTCTATTTAATATGTCACTGGGGCCTGGGAAGAGAGCTTAAAGTTATCATCATTGCAATCGAGGATTGTTTAGCTTAGTAATAACTTGGTGTCAGGGAGTTTCACTATATTCTAACAAAGACATGAAACCAGCTTGAAATGATGATTGTTTTATATTGTCAGCCCTGTTTCCAGATAAAGAAACAGCAGTTCTGGTTCCTCATCCAAACAGATTCTATGGTTAATGCAAACTTTGAAGTGATTGTATTCAGAGATAGCTTCATCCACAATCAAAATGTCAAGCATTTGACTGAGAAAGGATCCCAGAACAGTGAAACAGAAGTTGTGGTGGTGGAGGGAGAGACAATGATGGACAGGGGCTGTGGTGGGAGATGTGTGGGGGCTTGATGGGTGGTGATCAGAACAGGAGATTGTCGAAACAGGACTATCAGAGTTTCCTCCACTCTAAATTTAAGAGGAAGGAACTTACTTTTGTGTATTTTAAGGCTATTTAGACAGACAGACAGATGAACAGGTGGGGAACACAGGGATATAGACCATGTTCAGGTAAGTGGTATTAATTAGGAATGGCATCGTAGTCAGCAAAGACATTGTGGCCAAGGGGCCTGTTCATGTATTGTACTGTTCGATGTTCTATTGTTGGGCAATCCAATCCCATGAGTTTCCTACCTGGGGGCATTGTGCTAAAATGATTCCTGCCTTGACTGACTGACCTTTTCTCCTCCTCCCTTGCCATCCCCTGTTCTTGATTATTAAGGCGCTGAAGGTTATGGGGAGAAGGCAGGAGAATGGGGTTGTGAAACATAGCCCTGATTTGACAATAGGAAAAGAATACTTAAGGAGACTACTTTCAACTTGCAATCAGCCTCACTTTTTTAAACTATAATATTTTGTTTTGTCTCCTTAAAATAAATGGTATCATGATCAAATGGTGGAGCAGACTCAATGGGCTGAATGGCCTAATTCTGTTTCTGTGGCTTAAGGTCTTACCGTCTTTTCCCTGCCCCTGCGCAGCCCCAATAAGTTCAGTTCTTTTGTCTTATTATTAAATATTAGCAGCCGTAATTTGCAATAGTTGTTTATTAATATGTGGTTCCTTTGGAGCAAGATATCTATAAAAGATGAAAAATAGAGTGGCTGATTGGACAAAACCCCAAGATCATTCAAAATCTAGTTCCAGGTCGACTCTGTCTTCATAGTGTTGGGTTGGCTGCCCAGGAGGAGGTGCAAGTGAGCTAGCCTCTCGAATGTCAGTAGGTTTGACTTGGCCAGGGTCAAAAGAAAAATGTCACTCCAGAACCTGTGAATGGTTTGAGGTCTGTCTCTGTGCACAGTGAGTGATTTTCCAAACTGTTGTGTCTTTTCCCAGCGGCGCATATCGGAGTTGGAATCAGTGGACAAGAGGGCATGCAGGCTGTTTTGTCCAGCGATTACTCAATCGCTCAGTTCCACTACCTTGAACGGCTCCTTCTGGTTCACGGACGATGGTCTTACTTAAGGATCTGCAAATTCCTGAGATATTTCCTATACAAGACGTTTGCATTTTCCTTTGTCCAAATCTGGTTTTCGTTCTTTAGTGGATTTTCTGGTCTGGTAAGTATAAATGTCTTAATGTTGTTGTTTTGCTAACCTGAAGTTCTGATGCAAGTGGGATGTATGGGATTCATGAGTGACAGCAGATAGAGGCTGTGTTTGAGAGCTTTCTGGATCAGGAGACATCTGATTTCAGAGAACCAAAACTCGACATGTTTATCTGATGTCAAATCAGGCTTGTTTTACAATATGAAAAGAATACTTAAGGAAACTATTTTACTCTTGCAATCTTGACCTCCACTGAGGTCATATCATAAACTATCTGAGAGGGACCTGGCCCCCTCAGCTCACCCATGCCAACCAGCTCCCTCCCCAGTTTCCTGGGTTTTTGGTGGGTACACATTGCTGATATTCCCCAAATTATGAAAAGCCCAGATGTGCAGATTCTGATTCCTGACCCCACAAACATTGGTGGGCTTGGAGATGTGGCTAGCTTGGATTTTAAATGAGGAAGATTGATCTTGCTTCTCCTATTCCAAAGGCCTGGTGGTTGTCCTCTAAGAGCACCATTTCTATCTTCAGCCCTTTGAACTCTCCCCTTAGAAAACTTCAAGGTGTCGCCAACAAAAAAACCAGCCTTTTGGAGACTTTCTAAGCACACCACCCAGTGGCTAAAGGAAGTAATGCTATCATACACTATGACAACATCTCTCTATTGAGGAGTTGTTAGGGTCATAGAGATTTTGCAGCATGGAAACAGACCCTTTGGCCCATCGTGTTTGTGCCAGTCATCAATCATCTTGAATCATAGAATTCCTACAAGGGCAGAAGCAGACCACTTGGCCCATTGAGTCCACACTGACTCTCCAAAGAGCATTCCACCCAGAACCCCCTACCCTGTCCCTGTAACCCTGCATTTCGCATTGCAAATCCAGCTAGCCCGCACATCCCTGGACACTATGGACTGTGGGAGGGGAACCTGTAGCACCCGGAGGAAACCCACACAGACATAGAGAGAATATGCCAACTCCAAACAGACAGTCGCCTGAGGGTGGATTCGAAACCGGGTCCCTGGTGCTAGCCACTGAGTCACTGTGCCACCCCATCTTTTCCATTCTCATCCCATTTTCCAGCACCTGGCCCATGGTCTTGTATAATATGGTTTTTGACATGCTCATCTAAATACTTCTTAAGTGTCTTGAAGGTTCTCGCTTCTGTCTCCCTTCAGACAGTGAGTTCCAGATACCCACCACGCACCAGGTGAAAAAACATATTCCCCAAATCCTCTCTAAATCTCCTGCTCCTTAACTTACATCTAGGCCTCCCTGGCTAATGACCCGTCTACTAAGAGAAACCATTTCTCCCTATCTATGTCCCTCATAACTTTGTACACCTCAATCAGGACCTCCCCGCCACCTCAGCATTTTCCGCTCTACGAAATATAACCCCAGCCTATCTACTCTGCTGTCAGAGCTGATATGTTGATTACTATTAATTATTCAATGTTTTCAGCTGTTTTTAAATTCTATCAACGTTAAATTCATCATCGGTATGTTGTTTCACAGTGTGTGATTCTAAGGTATGAATTGTAGTGGATAAATAGTCAAAGGTGTTCCTTCTCTCTATCGAATCTACAGTTTGTCAATTAATCTAAATTTACATCAAAATAGGATAACTTTAACTTGCTTCGTGTCAGCTTGTTCCTTAACCAGCGCAGTAATGATCAGAATCCTGATCTTTGTTTTCTCCAAAGTCTGCCTTTGAGAAGTGGTGCATCTCTTTCTACAAAATTGCCTACAGCTGGCTGCCTATCCTCCTGGTGGGAGCACTCGATCAGGTAAGGTGACATTGAGTTTCTGGGCTCACCAGATTCCAGAAATGAAAATAAACAAGGTATGCTGCAACTGAATGAGTAATGTCCTAGCACTGGGAAGAAAATTGTAACACATTGCTGAATTATGCCAAGTCGTCAGCACAGAAACAGACCATTAAATCCAACTGGCCAAAATCACTGTCTATTTTCACAGAGGACCCTAATGACCTTTTCACATGTTGCTACCTACCCCGGTATTTCTTCATTCCCAACTCGAATGAATGTACAATTTCACACAGATGGTGGCTTAGTGGTTACATTGCAGGATTAGTAATCCAGACACCAAGGTTAATGCTCTGGGAGCACGGTTTCAAATCTCACCTGGGAGCCAGCAGAATTTACATTAGATTAATTAATAAATCTGGAATTAAAAGCTAGTCTCAGTAATCATGAGCATGAAACCATTGTTGATCGTTGTATAAATCCACCTCGTTCACTGATATCTTTTAGGAAAGAAGATTTGCCACCCTTACCTGGTCTGGCCTACAAGTGACTCCAGAACCACAGCAATGCAGTTGAGTTTTAATTGCCTTCTGAAGTGGCCCAGCATGCCACTCTTTCCAAGGGCAATTAGGGAGTGATGCCCACTTGCCATGAAAGAATTAAAAGAAATTCATACCTCACAGAGTCATAGAGCTGTACAGTACAGAAACAGACCCTTTGGTCTAACTCCTCCATGCCGACCAGATATCCTCATTTAATCTAGTCCCATTTGCCAGTATTTGGCCCATATCCATCTAAACCCTTCCTATTCATGTACCCATCCAGATGCCTTTTAAATGTTGTAATTGTGCCCATCTCTACCACTTCCTCTGGCAGCTCATTGCATACATACACCACGCTCTGCGTGAAAAAGTTGCCCCCTTAGATCCTCTCCATCAGTGTTATCTCTTTGAACCATCCCACATTACGGTGAGTTTCATGTTCTTACCACTGGTTAAAGAATTTCCTCAGAAATTCTTCTCTTGGTCTTATTGTGACTACATCATACTCATGGTCCCTTACAATGGAACCAAACTATTTAGTTGTTTATCCTAGCCTTGAAAACATGTAAAAAGTGAGAAAGTAAAGACCCTCTAGTAATTGTCCACATTCTTTAATTCTTTTTCTAATCATGACACTGCATATAACCCATGATGATGACATTATTTCTCATGGTAATCCGTCGCACCTCAAACTAAAAACTGTAAGGATTGCCATCCAGTTTGACTCCATTCCCAGGAGAACTCGAAGGAGATGTTCTGCTTTACTAGCATGCTCATGCATGTGGTCAGTGGTAGATCCACCTTACTCAGTAGTGGATGAGTTTCCAGTGTTAGTGAAATAATTCAACAGTCGGCAATGTCTGGAGGACACTTTTTTAGGTCTAGAGGCTTGGAAGAGAAAATGTAGTTAAAAAGTAGAGACAAATGCCAATGCTTAGACAGGTCCATCAACTTCTAAAACAGAAGGAAAGTTAATCTGTGTGCAGAGATCGCCAAAGTGGAAGGATCTCTACTAAATATGGCCCGTTAATTGCTAATCTGATGTGGATAAACGTATTGTTCATTTCTAGCACTTTCCCAGTTATACTGATGGTGTGGAGGTGCCGGTGTTGGACTGGGGTTGACATGGTCAGAAATCATACAATACCAGGTAATAGGTCAGCAGGTTTATTTGAAAACACAAGCTTTCGAAAGGGCTACGCTCCAAAAGCTTGTCTTTTCAAATAAATCTGCTGGACTATTACCTGGTGTCGTGTGATTTCTGACCCAGTTATTATACTGCATATAGAGTCATAGAGTCATACAGCATGGAAATAGACTCTTCGGTCCAACCAGTCCATGCTGAACATAATCCCAAACTAAACAAGTCCCAACCTGCCTGCTCCTGGCCATATCTCTCCAAATCTTTCCTATTCATGTGCTAATCCAAATTTCTTTTAAATGTTGTAATTGTACCCACATTGCACCACTCCCTCAGGAAGTTCATTCCATAGACGTGAACCACTCTCTGTGTAAAAAGAATTGCCCCTTGTCCTTTTTAAATCTCTCTCCTCTCACCTTAAAAGTGTGTTGCCTAGTCTTGAAATCCCCCATCCGAGGGAAACCTCTGACACTTGTGATTGCTGCTTATTCCCTTATAACATTGATTTTATTTTCTTGCTTATTTCTCCATAAATAATTGAGCAATTGGAAAGAAATCACTGGGTGCGACCCAGTTGGTAAGAGTTGGGTTTTGATTTTCTGCTGAAGGTGCATTAGTTCTCTGATGTAACTCCAGAGCATTGGGATGAAACATTCCTTGGGAACAGTGCAGCAGGCTTCCCACACATCCCATCAATTCAGGAACAGTCTGCTGGTAGGAACATCAGGCATTTAAAGTACATGCCCAGAGTTGGGTGGATGTATTATTTACACGCAAGTTGCAGGAAAACCCCACATCCTGTGTAAGAAACTGATAAAATCCTGAGAGGACATAATACGATGGATGCTAAGAAGACGTTTCCGACTGTGGGGTGAGCCTAGAACTAGGGGCCAATTAAAGTGAGGTTTCCCACTTAAGACTGAGATGAGTTTTTTTGACAATGAAACCTGTACCTCCACAGATACAGTGAGCTAAATAGCCTCTTTCTACACTGTAACAATTCTGTGAGATGGGAATAAAGATTCATCAGTTGGGTTCATCCATGCAGGATGGATATATGATGGAAAGATGTTCATGAGGTGAGGGTAATTGTAATTGAACTCTCTTGGCAACAGATCCTGATCTAATTGAGCTAAGCTGACCACTTTACACTCTGACTAATTTCACTCTCCGTTGACTTCAGTGTAGACTGTGGTAGGGTATAGAGCAGACAGTTGACCTGAAGCTAATACCTTCCCATCTGTGAGGTTAGGTTAAAATTACTCCTATTATATTTTCAATGTAACTCCCCTCCGAAGTCACGGCTGACTTACAGATGGAGCATGATGTGGATGTCAGCAGGAAAATTGGTGCATTCTCCTTTCAGTGCACCTGCTGGCCAACACAACCAATCATCCTGCTTGCAAAATGATTCAATGTGAAATGTTCTTTGAGACATATTGATCCAATAAGGCAGGGCTTCCCAAACCTTTTCATGGTGGAATGGGACCTCCTGCAGCAGGTGGCAATGCTGATGGAGGGCACTGAACAAGGGAGCTGCAGTGTTAACGTTTCGGGTCCGGTGACCCTTCCTCAGAACTGAGTTCTTCCTCAGTTCTGAGGAAGGGTCACCAGACCTGAAACGTTAACTCTGTTTTCTCCTTCACAGATGCTGCCAGACCTGCTGAGCTTTTCCAGCAACTTTGTTTTTGTTCCTGATTTACAGCATCTGCAGTTCTTTTGGTTTGTAAGGGAGCTGCAGTGTTGGGACTGCCACCAGCAGGTGGCGTTGATGAGAGATAGGGCAGTTCGAGCAGTCTCATTGGAAAAGGAAAGTGCTTTTGGTGGACAGAGGGCTAACGGGACAGGATAGGAGTGAGAACAGGAATCCTTTCCCCAGTGTAAACCACATGGTCATTGCAATTTTTTAGATCCAGAAGTGCTCTTACACATAACTGAATGTGTCTTTTTTTTTCTTCCCATCACCAAATCACCAAAACTTTTTCCACTATCTGTTAATGGTTGCCAGTAAATCACCCACATGGTCAATTGAATGTTTACATGCAAATCTTGCATATGGGTCCTTCTATGTACGCAATGTAAATCTTCATTTATCTTTTTCCACTATCTGTTAATGGTTGCTAGTAAATTACCCACGTGGTCAATTGAATGTTTACATGCAAATCTTGCATATGGTCATTCTATGTATACGGTGTAAATCTTTGTTTATCTTTAACTTCCCTTCCAGTTTTTAATGGCTAGCTAACATTGGAGTAAAGAATCCTTGCTTCATGAGCTTTGAGTCCTCTGTGTCTTAAAATCTCATTTGTGTGACCCTATTTTAATGCCTCAAACTTGGTGAGCCCACAGAATGAAAACCTTGGAGGATGGTATGGACAGAGTTGCTAACATTCAGGGTAGTGTTTAAACTGCTCGGATACAGATACAAAAATAACTAAGACATTGACCATTTTGCAAACTCTGTTGCTGGCCAAGATTCGCCCTCACAGATCGTTTGATGAAACCACACCCACTGGCAAAAAAAAAACACCCGCATTTAAAGGGGCCATGCCTCTGATTGCAAGACTGTCCAATCAAAGTCTCTACACCATATCTGCCATTGCTATCGTAGAGCTTGTGATGCCAATTGGTCATCATGTGACCCCACTATGGATTGCAAGCCACCCACTCTATTAAGTAAGGTGCAGCTTGTGTGTAAGCCATGAGTAATGTCATTCTGCTGAATTGGTTGTATTTCCCACATCAAACCATTTGCTGTATAATGATGTTGGAGCTCTGAGACTACAACTTGAACTCAATAACTCTAGACAACTAAGAAACATTGGTATAATATTTCTTATTAAATCAAATTTTGGCTTATTAGACATCTCAACGCTCTAGTCTGATGATTTCCTCTCTTCCTGTGTTTGTACTTTTGGCATTACAGGATATAAGTGACAATCTGAGTGTCAAGTGTCCGAAACGCTACAAAATTGGACAACAGAATGAACTGTTCAATTACAGGATCTTTTTAATTACTCTATTTCACGGCCTTCTCAGTTCAATAGTTATGTTTTTTATACCATATGGAGCATTCTTGGACAATGTAGGGAAAGATGGCATAGCAGTCTCAGATTACCAGTCTTTATCAACAACTGTTGGCACTGTTGTGGTGCTATCTGTTAATGTAGAGGTAAGTCCATAATTTAATCTTTGGCCATCCCAGGGTTATGTAATAGAATGTACATTAATGACCATCTATATTAAGAATCCTATTAAAAAAAACCTTTTTGAAGTTGAAACTGGCTGACCAATTAAGCCAGTGGTTCTCTAAACTTTGATCTGTGGATCACCTGAGTGAGGTGGACAAAATAATGCAGAAGATGGTAGTTGGATTAATAATCTGGAAATCTCGAATTGAAAGCTCGTCTCAGTAATAGTGACCATGAATCGATCATTAAATGTTGTAAAATCCAGTCTGGTTCACTAATGTCCTTTCAAGACAGTAAATCTCTCATCCTCATTCAGTCTGGAGTACTTGTGACTCCAAGTCCACAGCAATTTTAACTGATCTCGGAAATTCCTGATGAAACCACTCGGTTCAAGGCAATTAGGGACGGGCCAAAAAAATGCTGACCTTACCAATGATGCCCACATTCTATCAAAGAATAAGCTTATTGAGCAAGGCTGGGCTTATGAATAGGTAACATAGACAATTGGTTAAAGCCCCCATGGAGTGATTTGACAAATGTTAAGAGAATCTGGATCCTCTTGCATTCGGTGAAGGAGATGCAGAAAGTTATGAAGCACACATCAACCCATCCTTTAATCAGTCAATTTTCAAATGCTTAATTGTCTAAATGAAAGCAGTTTCATGCAGAAGTTGAGAAATATGTAGTTTTGACTTCTGTAAATCTCTAAATAATTGTGTCTGGAGGATTCAAGGTAATAATTAATTCTCTCAACAGGTTATGTTGGAGATTTCATACTGGACAGTTCCCTCTGCTTTTTCTATCATCATCAGTATTGCACTGTACTTTTGCATCACCTTTCTAACCCAAAGCGACTTCTTGACTCAAATGAAACCAGATGTGTTCCAGTTCCATGGTAAGAAAGCAATTTATCTGTTTATGTTTATGACACTTAACAGCAGATAACTATTATTTTAGCAGCCTAGTCAGTCCAAATTTGCAACTGATTTTATGATTAGCAGATATAATACAAATTTGTACTCTATTCCAGGTTTTGAGAAATCTTCAAGCAGTTGTCACTCTGCAGAGCTTCAAATGATATTTCTCTAGTCTGTAGCAATCCCTACTAGCAACTTGCATTTTCTTATAAGTTTATCCTCCCTGGCGTTTTATTGACCATTTTCAATCCACACCAAAATATTAAGAAAAGTAAAGGAGATCACATGAATAAAAGCAAAATACTGTGGACGCTGGAAATCTGAAATTAAAATGGAATGCCAGAAAAACTCAGCAGATCTGGTAGTATCCACAGTGAGAGAAATACAGTTAACATTTCAGGTCCAAATACTGTACTTCAGAACTGAGTTTTTGGACTTGAATAGTTAACTCTGTCTCTCTTGCTCCACAGATGCTGCCAGACCTGCTGAGTACCTCGAGCATTCTCTGTTTTTACTTAAGGGGATCATACACTTTGGTCATCCTTCTGACTTTTAAATTTATATTTGATCAAACAGTGAATGCTGAATGATGGGTTCAGAGGTTTATTGATTCACAGTGTGAAGCAACTGGATTAAGGTTCTCAGCACTCATATCCTTTTCAGTTGTATATAGTTTCAAAAAAACTTGCTGTTGTACAGGTACACAGGTCACTGATGTACAGGTACACAGGTCACTGAAAGTGGCAACGCAGGCGGAGAAGGTAGTCAACAAGGCATACGGCATGCTTGTCTTCATTGGCCAGGGCATTGAGTTTAAAAATTGACAGGTAATGTTGCAGCTTTATAGAACCTTAGTTAGGCTGCATTTGAAATATTGTGTTCAATTCTGGTTGCCACACTGCCAGCAGGATGTGGTGGCTCTGAGAGGGTACAGAAAAGATTAACTAGGATGTTGCCTGGTATGGAGGGCATTAGCTATGAGGAGAGGTTGGAGAAACTTGGGTTGTTCTCACTGGAATGATGGGGGTTGAGGGGGGACCTGATAGAGGTCTACAAGATTATGAAGGGCATGGACAGACTGGACAGTCAGAAGCTTTTTCCCAGGGTGGAAGAGTCAGTTACTCGGGGCCATGGGTTTAAGGTGCGAGGGGCACGGTTTAAAGGTGATGTACAAGGCAAGTTTTTTTATACAGAGGGTGGTGGGTGCCTGGAACTCGCTGCCGGGGGAGGTAGTGGAAGCAGATACGATAGTGACTTTTAAAGGGCATCTTGACAAATACACGAATAGGATGGGAATAGAGGGTACGGTCGCTGGAAGTGTAAGGGGTTTTAGTTGTGACGGGCAGCATGTCGGTGCAGGCTTGGAGGGCCAAAAGGCCTGTTCCTGTGCTGACATTTTCTTTGTTCTTGGTTCTGAGAATAAACAGAGTTGTTTAAATACTGAAGCTCTAGGTGTGATACCAATACTGAATTAGCAAAGCCTAGCAGGTTTGTATGTACATGGATCTTTGCTTCTGAGAGTTTGATCCTCACTCATCCCTGGCTGAAGGGTCAAGACCAGGCATAATGTGAAAATTGTGCTCCTCTTATGGTATGTTAGTCTTCCAGGGCCCCCAGAATGTGCTGCTATTCTCAAATCGAGATCAGCGGCTGGAGAGAACCAGCAACCAGCTCAACTGCAATTGACAGCCCATTAAATGCTTCAAAGAGCTTGTCAGTAAGCTGTGGACCAGGCAATGGTAATTTGAAATCACAGACAATCAGAAAAAATAAACATATGCTGATGACAATGCTTGGAACCAATGAATATTACGTTTATTTGGCGAAATCCGAATTGTATCATATTTTGTTTTGGGAGAGATTTTCACCACAAGGCCCAATGATCTCTTATCAAACTCACCACATCAGTGACCTACCCCACCTTTATTGCATGTCTCGTGCCCAATTTCCACCCCATTTTATCACACTCAGTGGATATTCTGGAAGTGACTGGCATCCCTTACGCCCATGCCATCTTTAAAAACCCGTTTTGCACCCCAACAAGCACTGTTAGTTCAGAACTGCCCTGCACAGTTCCTGACATTGGCCTTGGATATGGCACACAGGGGGAAGTCAGCACCTAGCTTTGTGGGCAGGGTCATGCTGGATGGATTGATGCCAACATGGCCTGAGGTTACGACCAAGCTCACTGCAGTCTTAACCATTTGGAGGAATGCCCAGCACTGTAGGAAGAAGATTGCTGTCCCACCTCCACTCTACCTGGGACTAAATGACCATCTTCTCTCCAATACCTCTCAGTCACTCTATCTCTGCTATTGTACCCACCTCCCACCAATACTCATGATCTACCAGTTTCGCTGTTGCCCACAGCATGTTCCCTGTGCACCGTCACCCACCCCAACCCTTGATACCACTAACCCTCTGCACTACCTACTCACTCACTTGAGAAATCTCCACACCTGCACCAAGAATATGACTGAGCCATCTGCTTTCATCTCCCATAATACCTGTTTTCTCTTTTTATCTCTCTCTCTCACACATTCCATGAGGAAAACAGCCCACAACAGGGCAGAAAGAGTCAAGACAGGTAGTGGGATACCCAAATTTAGCACTTCACCCCTTCTAAGTGGAGGATCCTGATTCTGACCACCCTGGACAGGGCTTGGATGGTATCAATGGCCATGCTTGACTTAGTGTGTTGCGACCCCGCCGAGTGAAGGCTATCCCCCTTGACTGAGGCCTGCTGATAACAATGACATGTTTCCTGCCTTCATGTTTGCACTAAGCAGGATGGCAAGACAGAAGTAATATGACCATGGTATCCCTGTCTAAGGGGGTAAGGTGCAAAAACACAAGGCAAGGTACAGACAGACAGACTTACTGAGGTAAGCTCAGAATGACTGAGCACTTTGAGAGCAAGCGAAGTGCCCAAAGGTGCAGCCTGGTCCAGTCTGTGAGCTGGATACATGCCCCTGAGCACCCAGTGTCCTTGCTGCATCATTACAACGATAGCTGCCAGTGCAACCCGAGATGCAACACTGAAGTGCAGAAGCATCCTGTAAACCTGATCAGGATCCTGATGTCTCTGACTCAGTCTCTGAGCTTTCTGTAATTTGTGTGTTTTTTGTGTGTGTGTGTGTGCACTAACCTTACTTGTCTGTCAGTCCTGTACCTCATTAAATATCACAGAGCAGGCAAGTGGTACTTGACATTGATTTTGTTGGAGCTGAGAGAAAACTATTTGGGAACAATTCTAAGAAGCAGTGCTTCCCTGGTTTTCTTGGGGGTACTGCTCTGTGACCATCTGGAAGAATAATAGATTCCAGCAGGAAAATTCAGTCAAGTATCTCCTTGCCTTTTCAACCCCCTCATGGGAAATGATGAGATTTATTAACACACCCCACATATGCTCCTCTGGAACTGCAGTGGTTCATTAGAAAAGGAATTCCCTGACCTTAACCCACCAATGTTGTAAGGAACATTTAAATATACATCCAAGGTGTAATGGTTGGCGTCTTTACAGTGAAGTGATGCTCCAGTGCAGCTATTCCTGTTGTCCTTGCAGGCAGAGGAGGCTATGGGTGAGGAAAATAGTGGAAAGGAGCCCTTGTTCAGTCTCTACAGTGCACATTGTATGTAGTAAAGGCTGCAGGCCAAATGGGCTGCTGATGGGAGGAGCTGGTCAAGCAAACAGTTTGCTTGGTTAAATTTATGCATTCACTCCATTGAGGCAATTCAGAGCCTCCACAATAATCTGCAAATATGGTTACTGTCAGAATTTTGAGTGTTTTAATTTTTGTTTTGCTTTGTTCTTTACAGGAGCAGCATTAAATAGCTTTAAACAGCCTTACGTCTGGCTCACCATCCTACTAACTGTTGTTGCAAATTTTATCCCTTCTCTTATGATACGATTAATTTGGCGAATCTTTTGCTCCAAAACTGCTGGAAGAGTAAGTACTGTTGCTTTGAGTGCATCTATTATTTATAAGAAAGTAAGTGACGGTAATAAATGCAAAATGCTCCGGATGCTAGAAATCTGAAACAAACGCAGAGAATGTTGGAAAAACTCAACAGGCTGGCAGCATCTGTGGAAAGAGAAACAATTAACAGTTTGAGTGATCCTCCTTCAGAATTGGTGATGCTAATTGAAATAAGTGCACAGAGGCCAGTATCCTGTCACCAAGTCACCTTTTATTTACTCGTGCACAATACACTGGCTGTGGGCAGCCAGCTTGGAGTCAGTCCCCTGAACTGATGAAATTCTAAATCCCCTCTTAATATTGGTCAGCCAGGGCTTCCTGAATGGCCTAGGTTAACAACCACAATCAAGGACCTCATAGTCAATGAGATATACCTGGTTCCAATCACTACAGTAATGCTGCTTTTTCAATTAGATATTTTCATATAATGAATGTGGACAAGTGAAGCTCATTCCTACTGTTTCTTACCTCCCCACAATAAAATATGGCTAAAATATTTGACTCAAGGCAGCAACTGAAGCTAAGACTCTTCTGAGCAAGTCTGTTGGTGAATTGAGAACATTGCTACCGTACATCTACTAGCAGCTTTAGGGACAGTCACCTTTGCTAATGGGTGGAGAAAAAAATTTCAAAGGTAGCTCAGATGCAGTGCCCAGTTCCAAAACCTCATGATGACAATGACACTTGCTTTTCCATAAGCAGGTTATTGTGAATGTTGGAAATTGGAGTTAGAAACAGAAAATGCTGCAAATACCCAGCTGGTTTGGTGGCAATTCCTGCTGGGATCTGAGGCAAGAAACAGGGAAACTAACCCTGAACCCTTTAGCATGTATCCATTGATTTTCCCCCCTTCTCTGATTACAATCCTGAATGAGCAGGCTCTAACTTAATAAAAACCGAAACTTAACATCTGATACCCGCTGTACAGGACTCTGAACCAAAGGAAATCATGTCAAGTCCTTCTGTCACATTAAATACCTCCTCCAAATTCTATACCAAGGAAGCACAAACCAAGTTTACAGAATCTGTCCTCATATTGTAGCCCTTTAACCCCTATCATCATTCTGAAGAATCAGGACTTCAACCTCTCCAAGGTCAACAGGTTCTTCTGGAAGTGGGATGCTCAGAACTGAATGATGTACTTCAGATGGGGGTCTGATCAAGGCTCTGTACAAGCACTGTCAGTCCAGACCTGTCCTGCAAAGAAGAACTTTCTATCAAAACATTTTTTTAATGGGATTTGGGTATGGCATGATATTGCTGATTCATCAGTTATCTCTGAAATGGAAGCTTTGAGAATAACAATGAATAAACATTAATTATTGATCTGTTGCAACTAATCTATGTTTGTTCCTTCCATTTTAAAAAAAGATTTTCTAAGAGGTTCTGTGTTGTTTCATGGTAACTTCATTGAGAGGATTCCCAATAAAAGATAATCCCAGAAAGAGTAGCAACAAGCGTTGGGATCTGATCATTAAGTTAGTTAGTTGACAAGAGTCATAGCTTAATCTTACGAGAGAAAAGCATGGAAGAAAACCTCACATTGACTGAGTTTAGGTGATGACGTAGCAGATCGACCCGATAGGCTTTATAACAGTTTGACTGTTATATTGTTCCATTATTTTTGTTATTATTCCATTTTTACATCATTATTACATCGTTATATTGGCCCAAGTCATCCATTCTCTAGATTGTCAGAGACCAGATATACCACCCAAAATATGCAATGGAATCCCATTGCATTCCTGATGCACTGAGTCTAGGGAATCGCTGGGTAACTCCCCAGTTTCCTGGGAACCTCTGAAAGCGTCTCCAACTCTAGAGCTGGAGAGCTCAAACTTATTTACTGAAAGAGTTACATAGGAGATGTTAAAGAGAAACTCCTGGGTCACTATGCAACTGTCACCACCACCACCACCACCACACTCCTGACCCCTCTGACATTCCTCACACCAGACCTGACCAGACCCCACAACCCTGACTCAAACTCCTCAGACCCAACTATACCTCACTATCCTAATTCACCTACCAACCTATTCAGCTACCACCCTACTGTCCTATCTTGCTCATCTTAACCCCTTCCTATTTCCCAGACCCTCATTATGCCTTACACATTCATCCATTCATTCACCTATTTGTTCAAACACTCATTCACAAAAACACTGAGAAGCTTTGAGATATTTAATTGTTTTCCAGAATAGTGTAGCAAGTGCCACAAGATGGTCTGGCTTCTGGACAAATTCTCTTTGCTTCTCCCTTCAAGGTATGCTCCCCTGAGAAATCATCCATCAGAGGTTCAGAAAGCAATAGTGTGGGTAGCTTTTTGTCTGGTCAGTATTGGAAACCAGGATTCCTAAGCTAATGGATGATCGGAACCGTTATTCATAAAGAAACAGGCACTGATTGTCATGGGAATATACATGCATGTCATTTTCACTGCTGCACTGCAGTCAGGTGCTGACAAAAATGTGCAGGCCCACTAGCCACACAGAGAGCTGTTAGTAAAACAATGCATGAAACTCCAGAGCCAGAAGACATTGAACACTGATCCACTTCCCTTGGTTACTGCTCATGTAGTGAAGTTGAAAATTACCCCCAGTGTCTTAAAGCTACAGCCCAACAATAGATGTCAATACTTCACAAAGGATTCTGATTGTAAGAGAACTAGTATAGTTGAGGAAGGAGAGCCTTATTGAATGAATGTTCATGAAGCGTGATCTAAATGGGTACACGAGAGGGAGAACAAGTTATTTTAATAAGTGTTGGTCTTTTTTGATTATTTTCAGGCTACTTATGAAGACCTAAACAAAGGTCAGCCAACATCAAATAACAAGGCTACTCACTTCAGAAGAGGTTCGACACAACGGCGCTCAGCCTATGCGTTTTCACAGGACAAAGGCTATGCTGACCTCATCACCTCAGGGTCAAGCATCCGAAAGAAGAGGCCTGCTTCAGGTACAACGACAAACACATCCTCCGAAAGTATGCCTGAAGGAGAAACCGATGTGGTGTAGGAGAGATTCTGAAGTCTTCACTAAGATGCCTTCACTAAGACATTGGAAAATGTTCTGACACTGTTTCAGGGACCATTCTGGTAAATATCAAAAAGACTAGGATTCTGACTGACTGAAGACTGTGCTAGGCCACAATAAGAGTCAGTTTAGTTGTTGCAACTTGAATGAAACAGAGTGCCTTTCTTCCTGATCTGTTAGTGCCTGTTTATAATTTGGTCAATTTCAATCTAGTAATGTGATTCTTTGACTGTTAATTTCTTGAATTTGTTCAGTGGTGCAGGGGAATTTTTGATTGGATTTCTTATTTTTGGTTTCTGAAAGCCAAAGCCCATTCAGGTTTCCAAATGTAAAGAAAATCAATTTGTACAACTAGGCCACCAGAATTATGGTATATGTTGTTGTTCTAGCAGTGATCTCTCTCTCTCTCTCTCTCTCTCTCTCTCTCACACACACACACACAACATGCTTGGTACATAATGCAAACTACAGTATCTGAGTAAGAGAGAAAATGTAACTTAATTCACTGGGTAGGGTGGAGTTCTGGCTTTTATATCCAGCTTAACATTGCAGTTCACCGTCTTCAACAAGGAATCAAATTGGGTGGGTGTAAAACTGTCCTTGAATCTGATCCCTTTGGTTTCATGATGGGCAGGTTAAGTTAGAATTACTTGTAAATATTTAATTCTCATTTAACGTTTATCCTTCACCAGATCATCAAAACTCGTTTAACATAACAAACACAATGCTGCTAGACAATTAAATGTCAGATATAAATCTATTCCTCTCTAGCAGAGTAATGTCCAATAGAAATCTCTGACTAAACATGTAACCATGGTGACAACAATGAAGCAATATGACATTCAATACAAAGGATGGCACATATTTATTCATTCAACTTAAATATACCAAATTCAGTGAGAAATTCTGTCATCTTTCAGCAGAGTTTGGAATAATTGAACAGACACCACACTTAGCATCCTAAATTTTTAATTAATAAATGTAAGTAACAGATACCATTATTAAGTATAATATCTCAATATTCATGTTCTGAATGGTATTTGGACTTAATCAGAGAGATTGCTGGGAATGTTGGCACACACAGTAAGAGGTCTTAGGCCTGTCCATGCTCTGCATTGCTGTATTCACTTGCTGGCCTGGAACAATTATTCGAATCAGTTGAGCTGATCTCCTTGTCAACTCCCCTCTCTTTTTGATATTTCTGGTGTTTCCATGGTGTTATAGTTCCATGGTTTCATTTGACTCAATTTTAGGAGACAACCAGTAACCAAGGAAGTAAAAGACACACAACAATCAATAAATGCACACACTATGCTGCTCATATCTTTTCACAAACAAAGGTATGAAAATGCTCAAATGCACATGCATTCACTGTGTGAGCATGAATATTGAAATATCATGCTTCATAATAGTGTCTGTTACTTACTTTTATTAATTAAAAATTCACTTATTCTTATCTGGATTCTTGATTAGAAACACAAGGCTAGTGACAAAAGTTTTGGACAACATTTCACGAAAATCAAAAAAGGTTGAATGTAATAGCTACAATACCTAAAACATAAATGTTTAGATAATGCTTTCTATCTAAGTTTCAGACAATCACTTCCTGTAATGTCTAGAATTTAGCATCAGGTAATCACTTACTATAATATCTAGAGTTTATTCAGATATAAATATGTATTAGGTTGCCAGGAATCAGAGATTCATTCCCTCCCAGTGTCCCTCTAATCATTTGATTGTTAATAGTATGCATTTCATTCAAATTGGTTCAGAATTTGTCACAAAAATTGATGTTCAGGATTGCTGTTTGCACATGCATGTATGGTTTTATATCAGAAATTCAAGTAACCCAAATTGGACCACTTATGGTCACTTCAAGACTGAAGTTCAATTCCACACTATTGGTATGGTGTTCATTTTTGTACCATAGCATTCATTTTGTCAATTATAATATGGTTAAAATAATCTGTTAAACATTCCAAAATATTTAGTATTTCCTGAAGGAACCACGTGTGAAATAATGAGTCGAAGCTTGAACATGGACTCTTGGCGATTTATACGCCTCAAGTGCCATCCATTAGAAAGCTTCAGTAATGGATTTACGCGAATGTAAATCCAAATCAATTTTTTTTATTATTATTGAACCCAAGGTTAAAAAAGAAAAACAAAAGCATGATATGCCATGGATATCTTTGTAGTGTTCCTAGCGTTTCATTGTTCTGCAGCCTGGATGAATCTTGTCTTCCAAAGAAAATCATATAGCCTGCAGTCAGCCTTAAATGGTGCTACCTTATAGGGACCGAAAAGGAAAATGATCTTTCTCTCTCATTTGCGTAAAGCAAGTTTAGGAACGGACTCTCCCCTAATTCCCAGAACTAAAGTGCCTCTCCATGATCTGGTCGCTACAGGTCTCAATTATTTGACCAATTTAAACATTCTTATCCTCAAGTTCAAAACATTTCATTTGTTTCAGAAATCACAAAATCATATCTGGTTGCAAGCTGAACTTGTCTCTGGAATCAGTTCGATTTTCATCTCCACTATCCTCCATTCCAGACATGCTCAAACCATGTATCTGCAGATTGGAGTTTGGGTTGTGAAATGCTTTATTGTTGACTTTTATGCAGTATTTTACTTGAAAGAAAAAAAGTCTGAACACTGTTTTATTTTTAAATAATGCCATTATAATTCATTACACAGAGGCTATATTTACATCCATTGTATTTTTGATATTTTTATATTCAAACTGTTTATTCATCAACCGATTTTACAGTAAATGGGCAATGAATAAATAGACTACTGCAACTGATAACAAATCCATATCAGACATAGATTGGAGACCTGTTTGGATGAAGCGTGTATTTTGTCTGGAAGTAGATTATCACTGTGAAAAATCCTTGACAAATTTGCTACAGTAATTGTGAACAGCACTGTTCTTATGCAAACACTCTGAAATTTTACCAGATTTTTCTGCAATGTATTTCCTTAAAAGCAATAATCAGTATAAGAACAGCGCTGACTGTAATTTCCACTTACGTATCTATGTATATGAAAACAAATTGTAATGAGACATTACATTGTGAAATTGCTCACTTGAGTAAATTGTGTTCTATTAAATAAATGGCTGAGATTATAAAACCATTTTATGCTGTTGTCTACCAATCAATCTTTAAGACAAAATCTTCAGGGTGCAAGTTTGTTTTTAACCACGTTGGGAATGTCCAAGCTTTTGTGCTCATGGACAATAGCATAATGCAAAGCCTTGGGCGATATTCAAAGTTTCAATCAATGATCCCATTAATTTGTTACTTTCCCAGTCTGCTGATAACAGCTTGGTCTTCTGATGTAGGGTTTTTCTCTCTGATAAGGCAACAACACTTAATATAGCATTATACAACCTCCAGCTCCAGGAAATTCAAACAAAGTCGAGTCAGCAAATAAGGAAAATGAGAACAAACAAGACTGTTTTGATTAGGCTTTGAAGTTTGGATTACTAGGCTTGAAGCCACTTGTGGGCGAAGAGCCTCAGGCCAAGCCCCAGGCCTAGGTTCATCCTCATCAATATGATGGCCAGGGACGGGGAAATAAATGGAAACCTCCAATTCACTGTCCACAGACACTGTGGTTGTAGTGGAAATGTTCATTAACCCAGCAGTGCATGGGTTTAAAGATTATTTGTTCATTCAATATCCCTGGAAACATTTAAATGCTACATCGTTCACACATTGCGCACTCAAGAATGATACAACTGAAAAAGATACATGTGTTAAACCAAAAGAATAATTAACAGTTCTCAAGCTTGGCTAGCTATAGGTATCAATCATTATGGATAGAGAAAGGAGTCAATTTCCAATTTTGGATTGTAATTCAGATGGGTTTACATAGCTGAAATCAGATATCCAGACTGTTGTAGGATTCCTTTGAAGAAGTAAATGTTCAGCATTTTGCGAAGCTAAGCGCTTGTGGTTTTTGTATCAGAATGTCAAATTTCTTTACAAATGGATTTGGAGTTTTGGAAATGGCCTGGAGTGCTTTTAAAGGCTTTATTACCTCACAGTTCTCAAAAGTAAACACTGCTTTTTTTCAGCTTGCATCCATTTTCCAGTATCTCCTGAAGATTACCCAGGTCTTTTCCTGGGTCTTGGAATAATTAAGGATTTCAGTATTAGAGAGACCAGTTTCCATCACATGATCAATAGGCATTGTCCATCCAGAATATTTCAAGGCTGAAAGGCCATTGATATACAATAGGAGATGGATGGTAGTCTTTCACACTTACTTTGTACAAACTGGTCCCTTCAGTTCTCTCATGTGAAGCAGTGATCTAGGAGAGGAGAAATCTAAAGGATCATTGAATCTGTGTATGGAAAACACTTTGCAATTCAAACCTGGCAGATGTGAATTAAGCAGATAACATTTGTCTTTGTAAATCCATTCCAGGGGAAGGCCTTCACCCAGGGTGATTCAATAGTGCATTCCAGAGGTTTGGTAATGCCTGTGATAATAGGCAAACACAACCTGACCCATCACAGCCATCTTATGAGAGTTCATTGTAGAATATAAAAGACAATTCCAGAAGCTTTATCAGTTATCATTATGTCTGTAGAAAGAAGTAGTTGCATTTACAGCTAATTGAAATTTCTCAGTTTTTCACACAATGAATGTACTATTTAGATGCAGCAAAGAAGGTTATCTTTGGCACAATTTGATGTAAAAACAATAGTGAGGATAATAGTGAAAACAAAAAATGCTGGAAAACAGTGGGTCAGGCAGCATTCATGGAGAGAGAGCAAGCTAATGTTTCGAGTCTAGATGACTCTTCATCAGATAATAGTGCTTGTCGTTATTCAGATAGAAATTATATAGCAACTTCAGATGAGTGGCAGATGCACAGTCAATTTGGAAATTTAATAGTTGTTGGATTTGCACACGTCCACTGTTAACTTTGTGAGGTTAGCACCTTGCTGTCTGCCTCTCTACTTATATTTGTTGAATGGTGTAAATATTTCTATGTTTGTGGAGATATGAACAAAACCTCATCTTTGAAAGTTAATTCTTGCTATTTCCTGTTTTAAGTATCCTTTTAGTGGCATGGTGAATGCTTAATTGACATCCTGCCCTGAGTAGGCAAGTTTCCTATAAGGGCCTTTTCTTGCCTCTGATTTAATTCTGGGGAGTTATTCCAGATACTGAGAGACTAACCCATGGTGTCTGCTATGAGCCAGTGAGCCTAATGGTTATCTTTCCCATCATAATGTGCTCCAATTAAATTCTGCCCCTCATTTTTCTTAGTTCGGCAGTATTAGCCTACACTTTCGTAAACTTGCCATGCAAACAGCTTCAAACTTGAATGTACAAGGGCAACTCTGAGTAGCAGTAAAAACTATTAGATGTCTTGCTACAGCAAAAATTGGCCCAAACATATGGCAATATGACCTTTTGTAGTGCGGTGAACTAAAGCAAGTCTAAAGCAGTAAAGATGATAGTTCATTTTATTGCATAAGTTCAAAAAGAAAGAAAGAAAAAATTATGAGGACTTATTTTTTCATGACCACTTGACAGCCAATGAATTATTAATTTAAATTAAATTAAAGCCACCGTTATTAATTTAAGCTGGACCATCATACATATTCTGAGTATTCTAAACATAAGCAAGTATGTTTCTTATATTGAATCCCTGTTGCTAGTATTAGGTCTTGAGTGCGAGTTATACATTCCAAGAAATTTGGGACATACTTCTATTCCAGATGGTGCTGCCAACTATAATTTTCAAATTTACTGTGTTGTAATGTGCAGTTTTCATCAACAACATGAACTGGACTATTAGCTCCAATTATAACAGTGTATTGTCAGCAATTATGCAGGAGTACATTCTTTTCACCATTTAAACTGAATTAATGGAGCAAATTATCCTATAAAGTAATTCTACATCTTGTGGATTTTCATTTTACAATGGTACAACAATAATTAAAGTTTTGTTCATCAACCATATTTAGCAAATCAATCTAAATAACTGATTGGCAAAGATTGTCAGAGAAATTATTTTGAGCAAAACATCATTTTCAGAAGCCTCAGAAGAATATTTATCATCAATCTGTTGTGACTTATGATGGCTTCAGCAAAGTAATCATTGCTGATTGCCCCTCAATAACTTTAATAAGCTTTGAGTTGTCTTCCCATTGTAATGAGTAGGGACTGACATTCCACAACTGGAGAGGCAGTGCAGAGAAATCTATAGTAGGCTATGAATAAAAGGTTTGCTAGTGAAAAACCGGTCAAGTAGGGTCCCAACCAAAAACATCAGCTTTCCTGTTCCTTTGATGCTGCCTGGCCTGCTGGGTTCCTCCAGCTCGACACTTTGTTGTCTGAGTCCAGCATCTGCAGTTCTTGCTAACCAAGTATTGTTCATTTTGTTCTTTTTTTGATTATTATAGACACATTTCTATTATCATACACTGTTATCAGTCATACTCTAGGCTTTGTATTAATTGATTGATTGATTTATTGCCACGTCTACTGAAGTACAGTGAAAAGCATTGTTTATGAGTAGTACAGGCAGATCACAGAATGCAAGGATGTACAGATCAGAGGTTGTAAAAAGACTTAGACAGAAGCATACAGGTTACATTGCACAGGAAGAGCGCTAGGTGCGATCAACATTAGCAAGATCAGCATTATTTGAGACTAGAGAGTCCATTCTTTGGTCTAATAACAGCCAAGAAGAAGCTGTTCCTGAACCTCCTGGTGTGTGTGTTCAGGCTTCTGTATGTTCTGCCTGATGGAAGAGGTTGTAGGAGATCATTACTGGGGTGTGATGGGTCTTTGACGTTGGCAGCCTTTCTGCGGCAGCAAGCTGTGTAAGTAGAGTCCATGGATGGAACGTTGGCTTCCGTGATGGTCTGGGCTGTGCACACCAACTTCTATAGTTTCTTATGGTCCTGGGCAGAGCAGTTTCCATACCAGGCTGTTATGCACCCGGACAGTATGCTTTCAATGGTGCATCTGTAAAAGTTGGTGAGGGTCCTTAGGGACATGCCAAATTTCCTCAGCTGCCTGAGGAAGAAGAGGCGTTGTTGACCATCCCATCTACGTGGGAGGTTCAGATCACGTTTTTGGTTATTGTCACTCCGGGGAACTTGATGCTCTCTACCCTCTCAATCTCAGTTTCATTGATTTAGATGGGGTTGTGTTCTCCTCCTTTCTTTCTGAAGTCAATGATCAGTTCTTTTGTTTTGCTGACATTGAGAGAGAGGTTGTTCTCATTACACCAGGTCACCAAGCCCCCCATCTCTCCTCTGTATCTTGACTCATCATTGTTAGATATCCGTCCTATTACTGCGGTGTTGTCAGCGAACCTGTAATTGGGCATTCATTCGGAATTTGGTAACACAGTTGTGAGTGTATGGGGAGTACAGTAGGAGGCTGAGGACGCTTCCTTGGGCGACTCTAGTGTTGAGTGTTATTGTGGAGGACGTGCAGTTACCTATCTTCACTGATTGTGGTTTGTGGGTCAGAAAGCTGAGAATCCAGTATCCAATCTGATACTGAAATGATTCCAGACTGTTTAGTTTCTGGTGGGAGACAGATCTCTTAGGCACCACGTGGCTGGAAATTCCACACATTGGGAGGTGTTTAATTCAAGTGACAATGATCTCACTTGCCAACTGAAGAACTGGTGACAGAACTGCATCACCCATCCTTTGGGTAGGACCCATCCTATTAGATGCTGGCCAAGTATCTAAGTAGCCAGCAGTGGGTCTTCCCTCGAATCAAGGACCCCAAGCAGTTGAAATACAACCTTCAGAGCACTATAGGCCAATTAGAGGCCAGCAGCTCCTCGTTGCTGTGAGCCAGGAGTGGCTGCAATGATCCCACCAGAGACTCAGGACCAGCAAGAGAACTTGGCTAAGTGAATGTGAGATGTGGGTATTGGGGAGGGAATTACCTGGGCTTTGGAGTCAAGAACTGGAGTGATGGTAGTTCTCAGCTGGCCCTACTCCTCTCAGTTGGTATCGGATTGACTTCTGGTCAAGGTAGACAGTTCTCCACTCAAAGATAGATAGCTAGATCCTTAGGTCTTTCTCAGAGTAATTATTTATTGACACCATGCTAACTGCATACA